ATCTTCCTAGGAGGCAAGGGAGGGTTATTGTGCAGGATGGAGGCAAAGAGTTGTGGAATAGAGAATAAATTAGAGGAGTTAAGGACAGAAAGATTAAAAGCAGTAGAGGCTGATAAACTTATGCTTAACGCAGAATGCTGCCAGCCCTAGGGGCTTACATAGTTTTACCCTTGTATATTTTGGGATTCCAGGAACAGCTATAAGGAATATAGGCATTAGCTGAGCTAATGCCTCAACAGTAATCCTTTCCACAACTTCCTTGACAAATTTCCATTTCGAAAGCTGGGTGGCACAATGGATAGAATACTAAGACTCGGACTCAGGAAGAACTGAGTTCAAATCCTACCTTAGTTACTACCTGTGTGACCTAGACAAGTCATCTGACCTCTCTGTGCCTCAGTTTCCTGATCTGGAAAATGGGGATTAATAATAGTACCTACCTCACAGTTGTGAGAACCAACTTAGATAGCATGTGTAAAGTACTTTGCAAACTTTAAACCACTTATATAAATGTTAGCTATTGTTATAATGAGGAGGAGGAAGAAAAGATAGAGAATAGAAACAGTGCAGAGCATATGAGCAGTAGAAAGTGCCTAATAAAGTCATGTAAAGGTTGGCACAGTGTATCAGTACATTTTCTTCCAGAAATAATGTTGTCCAGCAGCCAGGATGTGCCACTCTGCTCCTACCTGTAGTCACACATACAAGTTGGCCTCACTGGATACATTTAATAGTATATCTGAAAAGCTGCAGGTACATATATATTTATCAAATCATTTTCAATATGCTTTTTTTAACAGTATTTTATATTTTCCAATCACAATATGAAGACAATTTTTAACATTCACTTTTTTTTTTTTTGCTTTTTGGTGAGGCAGTTGGGATTAAATGACTTGCCCAGGGTCACACAGCTAGTAAGTGTCAAGTGTTTGGTCTGAGTCCAGATCTGAACTCAGGTTTTCCTGAGTTCAGGACGGATGCTATATCCACGGCGCCACCTAGCTGCTCCCCCCCCACAACATTCACTTTTAATAAAATTTTGTGTTCCAAATTTTCTCCCTCTCCCCGCTCCCTAAGATGGTAAGCAATTTGATATAGGTTATATATGTGCAGTCATGTAAAACCTATTTCCATATTGGTCACGTTGTGAAAGAAGAAATAGTTTGCAAAAGAAAAAACCATAAATCAAAGAAAGTGAAAATATTATACTTCAATCTGCATTCAGCTCCATATTTCTCTGAATGTAGATAGTATTTTCTATTATGAGTCTTTGATATTGTCTTGGATCATTGTCTTGCTGAGAAGAGCTAAGTCAATCATAGCTGATCACCTCACAATGTTGCTGTTACTGTGTACAGTGTTCTGAGTTTGCTCACTTCACTCAGCATCACTCCATACAAGTCTTTCCGTGTTTTTTTCTTTCATCCATCTGGTCAGCATTTCTTATATCACAATAGTATTCCATTACATTCATATACCATGACTTGTTCAGCCATTCCTCAGTTGATGGACATCCCTTCAATTTCCAATTCTTTGCCACTACAAAAAGAGCTGCAAAGTAGATGTTCTTAACCTTTTTTGTGTCATAAACCCCCTTTTCAGTCTGGTGGAACCTAGAGACTCCCTCTCAGAATAATATTTCTGAATGCGTGAAAGAAAATGCAGAGGATTGCCAAGGATATCAGTTATATTACATTTGTCAAAGTATATATGTATTTATTTTCAAAGTATTTTTAAAAACAGGTTTAGAGGAACTAGGTCAATTTTCTCTCAAAAGGCAAAAACAAAAACAAAAAAAACCAGGTAAATTACAGATAACCACTCATTGTGCCAGTTTTCTAAATGAGCACAGCAGCATCTCACTTATGTGGAGATAATTTATCCAACAACTTCAGCTGTGAATCACACATGCAAGGACCAAGTAACCAAATAAATGCCACGCCGTCCATGCACAAAAGCCATACTCAGAGCCTTGTTGCTCCTGTTTTACACACAATCCCCAAAAGCATTGTTATTTGATTTTTCAACCTACCCCATTAAAATGAGCAGATAATGAGAAGTGGGGAAGACTGTTAGAGGAAGCACAGTGACTACAGCCCTGCATGACTCCACAGCCCCTGAATGCATTGCTGTATTGTAGAGCTGTCTAGTAATTGGTATTTATAACGATGACCCTTGCAATCATCAAGAAAGCTTAGAGAGAGCATAATTTAAATCTAGTTGAAAAACCACATAGCATAGTGGGTAAAGTACTGTTCTTGGAGGCAGGACATCAGAGTTTTAAAACTTCCAACTGATACATGCCAGCTATGTGACTGTAGACAAGTCAGTTAACCTCCAAGTGCCCCCAAGCAACTCTCCAAGACTCTGAGTGTCATAAAAGTTGTCAACCTCCCATCTGTTGAAAGAGTTGGGAATTCCTTCTGCAAATAAAATCACAGTGTCAGATCTTTTATTATACAAGGCAGGTTATTCTCTAATAAATATTAGGAAGATTTCCACTCAGAATCATTAAATAAGTAAAAAAGTTTGAGTGCTTAACAGTGTAAGCATCAGTTACTGAAAATACGCGTGGATGGACTATTTCATTTCTTTTGTGATACCAAGCAAGTGACACATGATACATGTTACTTGATTTTTAGATATTAGGTTTTCTTAAAGCCAGACCACTTGTATACATCTCTATCAATGTTTAATAACTAGCAGAATAGAGCTATAATTTTCATGCTTTGCTTTCTAAATGTCAGTAGCCATCACACAGTTTATATTTAACTACTGTTTTAGCAGTATGACCACGTTAGTAAGGAAATTAAGATTGTCACACCTAACAAAGCTATTAAAAGACACTTAAGTGATGAATTATTCATGTGAATAAACACTTTCAGATGAAAACACTGCATATCAGAAATAATAGGTGTAGCATGCCCCCTCAAATGAGGTTTGTTTATTTAATGAAGTTAATCATATAAAATCTTGTTTCATTACCTCAGTGGATCTGATCACACTGGTGTTTTAAAGAATTGATCCCATGTATTTAAATATATATGTGGACTATGGAGTCAAGATATATATGATCTAGACTTAGCCTTCACTAGTTTATCACAGTCCTCTCTGTCAAATGTTTTAAGAGGCAGCTATCAGATTTTTTTTCTCAGTGTGGTAAAACTTGAAGAGTCTATGTGTTCCATTGGTATCTTTGCAATGTTAGGCAAACTCAAAGGTGGACCACTGTGTGGGAGTCTTCAAAGAGGACAGGGACAACAGTCTCATAGGAGGAGAGGCAGTAAAGAGAGGGCCAGCTCTTGAGTTAGAGAACCTGAGCACAAATCCTGGTTCTGCTACTTAATGCCTTTGTGATGTTGGTCAAGTCACTAATCTCCCACAACTTGTAAATGAAGAACAGAGTAGCTGTACTCTGAGGACCTTTCCAGCTCTGGAACTCATGGATAGGTTGTGATTTGAATCATTGGTGGGAATATCCATACCCAGAATATCATAGAGCCATTGAAATGTTAAGGAGAACAGAAAACCCCCCAAATGGTTAAAGAATTCTCCAGCAGATACCATTTACACCAACTCAATTAATTCATTCATTTCTCCCAAGCAATTTTCTCCAAATAGATATATTCTCACTGTTTTGCTCAAACCCAATATAAGCATGCAAATGAAAAAGCAGGAAGCTCTTAACCTTTATCTATCTAGAAGAGCGATACGCTTGCTCACATTATTTATGTGATTGCTCAGACTATTTCATATCAATCATTCACCAGTTACAATGTCAGAAACCACAAAAAAATGTCAGAGGGAATTATACTACTATTTGGTTTCTGGCTACAGAGTCCTTTTTGTCCTACATCCGTAATTCCACTCTATATTTTCAAATCTCAGGCCTTAATTTTTCTCAGAACTGAAATCCTGTTGCTATCAATCTCTTATGCCTGCTATGCTCCTTTCTTCCCTGTCTCCTTAGTCTTTAAGTTTGCCTCTCACCAATACTTGTCTTTCTTTTTTTAAAACCTTCCCTTCCCTGTCCCTTCTGGGCATTAATTAAGTTCTGTCTTATACTTCTGAACATATATTTCACACTTTTAATTTCTTGGTGCTAGAACACAATGATTTCCAGAATGCTAAAGTCTTTTTTATGTAACCTGTACATGGTACTCAAATCTTTTTCCCAATATTAACTAGTTAGACTTTGTGTTATCTCACTGTAACACTGTAACATATAACCCACACTTATATGGCACTTTTCTGTTTCTGAAGCCTTTTCCTTATAAAAACCAGACTTCTAGTTTGGAAATGCCTTCCAGTGATAGATTGGCTATTCATCTTTAACTTAGAAGAGTTGCCTGGGGCATAGTCAGTATTGAAGAAGGACTTGAACAAGGTCTTCCTGACTTCAAAGCCAGCTCTCTATCCACAGCATTCTGTCTTTTAGTATGGGTATTACTGTCCCTATTTTACAAATGAGAAAACTGAGGCATGCTGGATATTAAGAGACTTAAATCCCCAGCATGTAAGATTGAGTTAGGTTTACACACAGATTTTCTGATTCTAAATCCATAGTTATTCTACTATATTACTCTCTCCAAAAAATTATCCTCATTTTATAAAAGATGAAAATTTAGGCTAGTAAGAATAAGTATTGATCCAGTAGGAACTTGTGAGTCAATAATGTAGATAGAAATAGAACCCAGGACTTTTTACTCTGAAGATTCTGTCTGATAGATTCTGTTCTTTATTTTGTTACTTTCAATGGCATTCTATTGATTCCATAGTTTAGTTCAAAACTCTGTGGCCATTGTTTGATCTTTTATTTACTATTACTGCAAAATTCTTGTGGTTGTCACTAAACAGTTTCTTTTCACCATTTTAGATGAATAGACTTACCAGTAATTACAAAATGTTTTAAACTTTATTGAGAAAGTGCAGTTAGAAGGAAATCACTGAGTATTTCTAATGTACTTAAGTCAGTTTAATCTTTTGTATTTGTTTTTCAGTCCAAGGCTGTCTAATCTTCCTGGCTGGGCTTTAAAGGATGGAAATACTTTCTTGGACAAGGTAACATTGACTAAAAGAGTATTGTTAATCTACAGAAAGCCACCTAAGCGGAATGGATCTGCACTTATGTAGCAGCGAGGCAGCTGTGCTGACTCTTGACCCTTACTCTGTCTTGACATGAAATGCACTAAGATCAGTGCTAAAGGTTTCACATCTTGGTGGGTCTTGTAAAAATATAAGCAGCATAAGTGAGGGAAAAGAGCCAGGGACTTGGAGGAGCTGACTTGGGTTTGAATCACTCTGCTGTTTACAATCTGTGTGGTGTTAGGCCATTCAATTCACCTCTCTCATTCTTGACTTCCTCATATGTAAAATGAGAGAGTTGGGATAAAGATCAAAGGGCAGATAATGAAGCGTCCTCCTTCCTTACAGCAGAGAGTGGGGTGCAGAAATATCACATGCAGCCATTGTATCCGAGGTGCTTGTACTTATGTTTTCCTTGTCACATAGGATCAATCTAGAGAGGAAGAAATGACTGCCAAAGTAAAGTAAAAAATTATCAATAAATGTATTTTTTAAGCTAGCCAAAAATAGTTCTGTTCTAGTCAATTCTGTTCATGAGGAGAATTGACTAGATTGCTAGGGGCCCTTCTACCTCTAAATTCTATGATCCTAAGTCTCTTAAAATCTCTGCACATCAGTTTCTTCAGTAAAATGGAAGTGATAATAAACATGTTGCCTGCCTTCTAGAGTGATTGTGATGTGAAAGCCCTATGTAAACTTTGAAGTGCTTTATAAAATTGATCTTCTGCTGCCATATTCTGTCACCCCACATTCAGAGCTAGAGGGCCCAGGCCATACGTTAAGTACCCATAGCTCCAACACACAGTAGGCACTTAATAAATGCTTGTAAACTGCTGCCTCATTTTACAGATGAAGAGATGAAGACAGAAAGAGCTGAAATGACTTGACTCTTGTTCACAGAAGTAGCAGGTAGTGAAGCCAGAATTCAAATCCATTTCTTCTGACTCCGCATTGAATACACTTTTCAGTGCACAGTACAGAACTACCTTACAAGAGATGTTAGGAAGAAAATACTTTGAAAATTTTAAAGCAGTGGATATTGTGTGTGTGTGTTACTTTTTAAAAGGCTTATGCTGTGGTCAGTACAACTTTAGATACTTTTATTTAAATGTCAGACTTCTTTATCAAAATGTTATGCTGTAAGCTTTATCTAGAAATAGAGGCGGTTTTTTGCTCTATACAATGAACAATGGAAGTAAAACTTTTGTGTTAAGAAACAAAATGATAATTTTAAAGATAATACTAGTGAAAGAATTCAGTCTAGCTCTCTTCTGCAGCTCCAATGACTTTGTAAGACTTAATAAAGTAGAAATGTGTTTTGAAAGATATGACTTAAATACTAGCAGAGTTATTTTAAAAACTCCTTCAGAATACTAAATCAAAAGTAGCATTAGCTTCAACATAGGAAACAGATGACAGTGACAATGAAAACATCTTAAAATAGTGGGTTGGTTTTTTTTATATAGTGTGTCTATATAATGAGTTGACCAGTTTTCAATAATGGGTCTAGCTGTATTCCTGGAAGCATAGCAGAGTAGGTCTTTTAGACTACAGAATTGAGAGTAGCATAGAATGAAGAATAAGAAAAAATATAAATGAAGAGAATTCTAGAATTCTGAATCTTGAGTCCTCTTCTAGTTTTATCACTACCTTGTTGTTGGACCATAGATGAATTTTTGAACTGAATTTTAAAAATTTATTTATACCATTCATTAGAAAAATTGAGTTCCAAATTCTCTCCCTCCAGCCATTAGGAAGGCACGCAATATGATATCAGTTATACATGTGAAATCATACAGAACATTTCCATATTAGCTTTGTTGCCCCCCCCCAAAAAAGCAAGAAAAATAAAGTGAAAAAAAATATTTTAATTAGCACTCAGAGTTCATCAGCTCGCGCGCACTCTCTCTCTCTCTCTCTCTCTCTCTCTCTCTTCCTCTTTCTCTCTCTTTCTTTCTGTGGAAGTATATCATTTTTCGTCATGAATCCTTCAGAATTGTCTTGGATTATTGTATTGATCAGAGTAGCGAAGTCTTTCACAATTAATTGCTTTTACAATATTGCTGTAACTGTTACAGATCTCCTGGTTCTGCCCACTTCACTTGGCATCATTTCAAATAGATCTTCCCAGGTTTTTCTGAAACTATCCCCTTCATCATTTCTTTTTTTTTCTTTTTTTAAAATTTTATTAATTTATTTTGATTTCTCAACAATCACTTCCATATGCTTTTGAGTTGAAAATTTTTCTCCCCCTTCCTCCCCCCCACCCTCCCCAAGACGGCTCACAATCTGATATAGGTTTTACATTTACATACCCATTAAACATATTTTCACATTAATGAAGTTGTAAGTAAAAATTAAAACCATTAGGAGGAACCATCAGAAAGATGAAACAAAACTCAAGAGAAGCTAAAAGTAAGTGATAGCGATTGAACTTCCATAGTTCTTTTTTTGGATGTGGACAGCATTTTCCATCCCGAGGCCTCTGGAGATGTCTTAGATCCTCGTAATGCTGAGAAGGGTTCAGTTTAACAATCTTAATCATTGCATAACGTGGCTGTTATTGTGTACCAAGTCCTCTTGGTTCTGCTCACTTCACTCAGCATCAGACCATATAAGTCTTCCCAGGTTTTTCTGAAGTCAACCTGTTCATCATTTCTTATAGCTCAATAGTATTCCATTACATTCATATACCACAACTTGCTCAGCCATTCCCCAATTGATGGGCATCCTCTCAATTTCCAGTTCTTTGCCACCACAAAAAAAGCTGCTATGAATATTTTTGTACATGTGGGTCCTTTTCCCATTTGTTTGATCTCTTTCGGATGCAGACCAAGTAGTGATATTACTAGATCAAAGAGTACACACAATTGAATAGCCCTTTGGGCATGGATTCAAATTTTTGGATTGGATTTTTTTTTAACTATAAAATTTTTGTTATTGGTGAATCTCCAGAAATAAACCCTTCAGACAGTTCAGTATTACATTTATTTTACAAATAAGGGATCCAAAGTTCAAGAAAAAGTAAAAGAATTTAAGGAAAAATTTTATAACAAGTAGAACCATCCAAAAGTAAAATGGCTGGCTTTAGAGTACTGAGTTCCCCTTAGATTGATGTCTTAATCATTTATTGGAGATGTTAATAGAAAAGATTCTTTGGTCATGTTTGGATTCTACTCAATGGCCTCTGAGATCCCTCTAGCTTTGAGATTCTCCAGTTCTGTGAAATGATTTACTCAAGGATATTTAAAAAATCAGCAGAAGAAAAATTAGTTTTCTCCAGTGCCATGCTAAGGTGGAGTTTATCCTAGTCACCCTTTATCCCAGAGGTTTTTTCTCTTAATCTCGAATAAGAATAAGGAGCTTGAATATTTTTTTGGTAGGTGTTTGGAATTAAATCACTTGTCCAGGGTCATATAGCTGGTTAAGTGTCTGAGGCCAGATTTGAACTCGGATACTCCTGACTCCAGGACCCCCAGTGCTCTATCCATTGTGCCACCTCACTGACCCTTGAATATCCTTAAAATACTGTAATTTATCAGAATGTGATTATAGGATCATAGTGTTAAAGTTGGAAAGGACCTTAGAGGTCATGAAATCCAATCCCTTCATTTTACAGTGAGTAAACTGAAGCCCAAAGAGTTAAGTGCTTTGTCCATGGTCTTATTATTTTGTGTGTCTGTCTGTGTATGTATGTATGTGAACAGAAATGTGTGTGTGTGTGTGTGTGTGTATGCGCATTGTTAAATCAAGAAATGATTTTTTTTTTTACATTATGCTCTATGTTGTTTAGTCGTTATGTCTGACTCTTCCTGACCCAGTGGACCATAGCACACTAATGCTGTCTGTGAGGTTTTCTTGGCAACAGTATTGGAGTGGTTTGCCATTTCCTTCTTCAGTGCATTTAGGCAGAGGTTAAGTGACTTGCCCAGGGTCACACAGCTAGTCACTGTCTAAGGCCAGATTTGAACTCACATCTTCTCAACTCCAGGCTCACTGGTCTATTCACTGAGCCACCCAGCGGCCTGTCCTCTAACTATACCCTCTGCTAAAGCACAAAATGAATAATGTTCAAAAACCATATCACAGTAAAAACTGGTATGACATTTAGAGATTCAATAGACCTGATTTCAATGTAGCTGTCATAAACTAGATAGAAAGGGTTCTTTTCCTACTGGGGTTTCAGAAGGTTCCTAGCACCAGTACATGGTAAGGAGAATGACTTATATGGTATATCTGCCCATTATGTCTTTCGAAGGTAATGTTAAATAATGCACATTAATGTTTTCAATGGCAAATACAGTTACGAGGGCAAAAAAGGCTAAAGGTCAAGGGATAGTGCTTTATCATGGAAAGTGGACATGCCTTAATGTAGCATTATTTGGAATGAAATTACAAAACTAATTTAAGATCAGACAAGGCACTGAAACATCCATGATCTGACTTTAATCATTCCTAATATCATTTTGAGGGAGTTCTTGAAGAGACTTCTGCCATTAAGCATAATTGCTCGTTTGTTATTAGTTGTGAGATACACTGTAATTGGTTTCAACATCTTGTTGGCTTAGCTGAGGATTGGCTACTTGCACATGGAGAGGGAAATAACTTTGGCTTTATAAGGTAGTAGGAGATTTTTTATTTTTGTTTTTTTTCATTTCTTTGGTTTTTTTGTTTTTAATTAAAGTCTTGCTAGGAGACTTAGAATAATGAATTACATGTGCAGAAAAATTTAATTCACACTCTCCAACTTATGGATAAAGATTACAAACAAAGTGTTATAAGTGACTGAAGTCTTTGGCCTGATGTGTGACTTAATATATTGAGTGAATGTTGGTCCAAAATTAAAAAATACCTCCTAACTTTATGTTTCAGCAATGTCGCATTAATGCAGACTCTGCCTTTCATTGATCTTCATTATAAAATCAGAGTTGTACTCCCAAGAAGGAACCATATAAATTAAAAAATAATTAAATGCT